ATCACAGCTCGCAGCAACCTCAAACTCTTGGGCTTAAGCGATTCTCTTGCCTCAGCCTCCCAAGTTGCTGGGACTACAGGCACCTGCCACAACATCTGGCTATTTTTTGTTGCAGTTGTCGTTGTTTACCAGGCCTAGGCCAGGTTCGAACCTACGAGCCCCAGTGTATGTGGCTAGTGCCCTAATCACTAAGCTATAGGCACTGAGCCTATAAAACCTTTTTTTCTTTCCAATATATTTTCAGTAGAGAAAAATGATTTACATAAGATGTTTGTTACTGAGAATTAACAAGAAATGAACAGAGAGTATTAGCTTCTGACTCTGCTCTATCATGAACTGGCACTAATTAAAAATTACAGCCATGGCTCAGTGCCCATAGCACAGTGGTTATGGTGCCAGCCACATACACCAAGGCTGGCGGGTTCAAACCCGGACTGGGCCAGCTAAGCAACAATGACAACTGCAACAACAAGAAAAAGAATAGCCAGGCATTATGGCAGGTGCCTGTGGTCCCAGCTACTTGGGAGGCTGAGGCAAGAGAATTGGTTGGGCCCAAGAGTTTGAGGTTGCTGTGAGCTGTGGCGCCATAGCACTCTACTGATGGCAACATAGTGGGACTGTCTTAAAAAAAAAATTATATCACATACTCATTCTAACATACAGGACTTCTTTCCACAAAAGCTCATGGACCAAGTGTACACCCATCCTCGTACCTGCCACGGTCGCCATGGCCACATTTCCCTGCTGCAGTGCAGATGCCGGCACCACAATTCCTTGAGGGCTGATGGTGCCTGTGATGGCACTTGGAATCTGCTGCAAGTCAGAACACACATTATGAAGGTCTGATAGAAAGCAGAAAACTCACGTTTAAAACTTCAGAGTAAGGGACATGATGACATCATTAGTAAAGAAAAGAGATGCTTGGGGCAAAGAGCGTCCCGGCTGACCCAGCTTTCAGAAAGCACACATCACAAACCCGGGCACCGACAGACACAAGAGCGGCTGTGCATCAACACAAGACGGAAATGCTGGTTTGCATGGTGAACTTCTCAAAGAGTCCTTCACCTTCTGCCATAGTCCAGTCATCTTGAAGCCCTGGAGACCCTGCTTCCTGTGACTCACCCTGTGGGAGCCTCACTTCCTTGTGCAGAGCACTTGGGACTGGGCTGCCTGCAGCAGGCATGTCTGTCAGCTCCGCCCCTGAATACTCCATTCGGCTACTTTTCCCACTTGCTGTGACACCTGGGTTTGTCATTGGTTTGGGGGGAGCATCTAGCACAAGGCCTGGCACACAGCATGCTCCCCGATATCTGAGCAGTTCAACAGCAAAGTGGACATCACCCAAAGGTGATTACTCTGTGGGTAACCACAGATTTCGGTGTATAAGCTTTGGTCAGTATGCCTAAAGTCAGCCACATTAATTTGGTCATAATAAAAGTTAAACCACCAGAATCAATCATCGAAGCACTAGGGCTGGGCATGGTGGCTCACGCCTCTAATCCTAGTACTCTGGGAAGCCCAGATGGGAGGATCACTTGACCTTAGGAGTTCAAGACAAGTCTGAGCAAGAGGGAGACCCTATCTCTACTAAAAATGGAACAATAAACTTGACATCCTACTCAGCTACTCAGGAGGCTGAGGCAGGAGCATCACTTCAGTCCAGAAGTTTGAAGTTGCTGTGAGCTATGATGATACCACTGTACTCTAGCCAGAGTGACAGCAAGACCCTGTCTCAAAAAAACAAATAAACAAACAAACAAAAAAAAACCCTGAGGTCTCACCTTAAGACCCTAGTAAAAGAAGAACACAAATGGGCCAGGCGTGTTGCTTTACACTCAAATCTCAGCACTCTGGGAGGCCAAGGCAGGAAGATCACTTGAACCCAAGAGTTTAAGATCAGCCTGAGCAAGAGCCAGAAGACCCATCTCTACTAAAAATAGAAAAATTAGCTGAATATTGTAGCAGGGGCCTGTATCCCCACTACTCAGGAGGCTAAGGCAGGAGGATTGTTTGAGCCCAGAAGTTTGAGGTTGCTATGAGCTAAGCTGACATAACATTCTAGCCTGGGTGACTGAGTGAGGCTCTATCTCAAAACAAAAAAAAAAGCTTGATGCCTGTAGCTCAGAGGCTAGGGTGCCAGCCATATACACCAGAGCTGGTGGGTTCAAACCCAGCCTGCACCTGTCCAACAACAATGACAACTACAACCAAAAAATAGCTGGGCATTATGGTGAGCACCTATAATCCCAGCTACTTGGGAGGCCCGAGGCAAGAGAATTGCTTAAGCCCAAGAGTTTGAGGTTGCTGTGAGCTGTGACACCATAGCACTCTACCAAGGGTGACAGTGAGACTCTGTCACAAAGAAAAAAGAAAAAAAAGAAGATGAACATAATTAATACAAAGCAGAAGATAGGGGCAGTGCCTGTGGCTCAGTGAGTGGGACACCAGCCCCATATACCGAGGGTGGCAGGTTCAAACCTGGCCCTGGCCAAACTGCAACAAAAAAATAGCCGGGTGTTGTGGCGGGAGCTATAGTCCCAGCTACTCGGAAGGCTGAGGCAAGAGAATCGCCTGAGCCCAACAGCTGGAGATTGCTGTGAGCTGTGATGCCATGGCACTCCACCAAGCGCAATAAAGTGAGACTCTGTCTCTTTAAAAAAAACAAAGCAGAAGATAGGAAATGATAATCAGAGCACAAATCAATGAAATTGAAAATAAAAAAACAATAGAGAAAAATCCATGAAACAGTATGCTGGTTCCTTGAAAAGATCAAACACAAACCTCTAGAAAGACTGACCCTCTTCCCCCCAAAAGAAGATACAAATGACTAATAACAGAAATGAAACAGAGAGATGGTTACAGACCCTGCAGACATCAGAAGACTCCTGGGAATACTGCACACTGGACCCATGAACACCTAGACTGAACATCTCGGACGAAACAGACCAACCTTCAAAACACACGAACTCCACAACTCATCTCATACAAAAGACAACAATGCAAATAGTCCTATAGCTATTAAAGGGATTGAACTCATAATTGTAAAACTTCTAAAAAAGGACTCCCCAGGTCCAGCTAGTTTTTTGGGGAAATTCCATCTGTGGCATGTTTAAAGATGAATTAATAGCAAATCTATATAATCTCTTCTACAAAACAGAAGAGGAGGGACGCTCCTCAATTCATGTGAATAAAACTTGTATTACCCTGATACCAAAAACAAAGTACAAAAAAGAAAACTACACATACCAAACATGTCTTACGAATATGGACAGAAAAGTGCTTCACAAAATATCAGTGAATCAAATTCAGTTAATATACAAACAGAATTACATGCCATGACCAAGTGGAGTTTATTCCAGGAATGCAAGCTTTGTTCACTGTTAAAAAAAAAAATCCATTTAATCTCCTATATTAACAGTCTAAAGAAGAAAAACCACATGATCGTATCAACTGATGGAGAGAAAGCATTTGATAAAATTCAGTGTAATAAAAACTCAGAAAAATAGTAACAGGCTTGGCGCCTGTAGCACAGTGGTTACGGTGCCAGCCACATATACTGAGGGTTGTAGATTCGAACCCAGCCCAGGCCAGCTAAACAACTGCAACAAAAAAATAGCCAGGCACTGTGGCGGGTGCCTGTGGTCC